ACACTTTACAAAACCGTTAACGTATATTTTACAACACAAACGACAACACTAACTTAACCTTAAATATTTACAAAGCCGCCAACCACTTCACCTCACTAATGTAAAAAATAAACGTTTTCACTTACAAAAGTATTGCAACTCCTCCCATTGCTGTGCTTCATATAACAGCTCATAATCTTCTGACTCACTTTCTTCTTCATATAGGTCAAAATCACTGTTATAGTTTATACCTGTAAGTTTTGACAAAGCTAATGAAACACGCTTACCGTTTGTATCGTATGCTTGTATAAACTTTCCATTCTTCATTCCTTCATAAACGCTCAAACTAACTTTACCCTTTCTCCCTCGTATCTGATAGAATGTATTTTCACGAGAACGAAGAACAAATTCTTGAACTCATGATCGTTGTAGTTTGTTATCTCAATAGTTTTCGTCATTTATATAAAAATAAAATAAAAAATAATTTTAAAAATAAAACTTAAAAATTAATGATATCACCACCCTCACACGTATGAAAACATAGCACAAAAATAAATTTAGGTGAAGTGGTGAGATCTCACCTCTTTTTTCACCTGTTTTTTTCACTCTGTTAATTCATTGCTTTATAACTCTCTTCCTTTCTCCAACTCTTCTAACTTCTTCTTAAGTTTAGCAATGTTGTCCTCATGAAGTTTAATCTTTCTCAAAATTCCTTCTTTATCTAATGGTTGCTTTATCTTTCTAAACTGAACTCTACCATCCTTCATAGTATGAATGTAAAAACCTTCTGGAATAGTTCCTGATTTAATGTATTCTACCAAAAACTTTTGTTTCATTGCTTCAGTGACTTTAGTCGTCATTTCAATCAAATAAAAATTTTAATATTAAATAAAAATAACGTTATTTTTTCAGTAAGGAAACGCAGGAGTTTTACGATTTATTTGAGGAGTAGGTTCTGGTTTAAATGTTGGAGTCGGTTTAGGAGTTGACTTTTGAACAGGAGTTTGTACTTCCATAGTTCAGGAGTCATTGAGGTTTTGCTTGTGAAGGCGTTGGTTTTGGCGAAGTTGTTGGAGTTTGTTTAACTTCAGCTACTTCAGTATTATTTACAACATTTGCTTTATTTCTTTTCAACATCATAACTGCTACTGCTGTAGCTAGCAAACCTAGTGGGAGACCATATCTTATATAAGGACTTGACCAAATGCTATTTTTGACAGGAGCTGGTGGAACACCTACCTTGGTGAGACTGTCTTTGCCATTGTGCAGCTCGTAAAATATTCAATAGGTGCTCCATAATCGTTTGGTAATTTGTTTCATAGATGGTGAAGGTTCACGAGAGCTTGATGAAGAACTCATTTATAAGCTTTAAAAATAAACGTTCATCCTTTATTCTCACTGTCGTCCGTAGCTAAGTTATAGTCATCTAATCTTATTATGGGGATGCCATTAGCACGCCCTGAATGGCAAAGCAACAATCCCTCATAAATCCAATAAGTGGCTTTGGTACATTTTCAGTTGCTAGTTCAATAGGTCCTTTAACAGACAATTTGTATGTTATTGGAGCAGTAGATGTTTGACTTTGCTGGAAGCAAAAGTCCACTTCTGTTGGAAAACCACATAAGAAATGTGTGTTGTCATAGCTATCCCATTTATGTTCCACACTACCATCATCCACCAATGACCTCATAACATCTTCATTAAACTCTATCATATCATTGTGTATTGCAGGCGTTCGCAACCATTTCATAAAATACAGGTCCATATGATTTTTCAGGTTCTGCAGGCATATTTCTATAAGCTCCCATGGAAAGCTGAAGATATTTAAACTTAGGGTTCTCAAAATTAACATAATAGTTGTCTTTCTTTCTAAATAGTGCCCAAATACTTTTAACATTAATAGGCGTATAAGCTGCTGTAAATGTTGCACTTGAACTATCTGTATTCTTTGAGAATGAACCGTCCATAGGAATCCAATCCATAACTTTAACAGGAAAACATAAAGCCTCGTTTGTATAATGTTCTACAAGTTCTGTATAATGTTAGGGTCTAAAGAGAATGACTTTGGATGAATGAAACATTCATTAAAATCCATCTTTGTTCGAAATAGTTGCTGGGTTACAGTTTGTAATAGTAACTGTTCCACTAGCTTCTACTGCCTTCGTTATCATAGTGAATGGTTCATTCCATGGAACAAATTTATTTGTCGGTGGATTTGAATCTGAAGCAAATGCAACTTTAAGAGTTGGATTGAAAGCAATGATATCATTTACAGATATAGATGTGCATTGTAAGGCGTCGCTACTGAACTTTACTTTAAGCTGAATGTTTCCTGCAAAAGCTGGAATAAATCGAATAGCTTCTAATGGAAGGAATCTTCTAACAGGAATTCTTAAACGAAGCTTAAAATCAAATGATTTTCCTGCTGTAATTGGACCACTAACAATTTGTCCTGTTCTGCATGTTCCCGAATGACTCCATACATCTTCATGTGAGTCTTTGAGAAAACATCTACTTTCTTTATTTGTTCGGTAGTTTGTGAGTTTGAAGTTATATATGCTTCTTCTCTTGCATTGTCTTGAGAATATACGATACGACCATTTGCAAGGATTTGAATATCCAGCAACTGCATAGAAAGCGTCATCGAAACCAATCCAAAATCCTGGTGGGTTTGTTTTATTGGAACCTGAACCAATTTCTTTATCTACAATAAATTGACCTTCCATTTTATACGTAATGAATGTATTGTAAAGGTCCAACATATTTTTACCAGGAGGTGAGAGATTGAATGTTACCCATGTGTTATCTTTAGCAGTTCCAGGTTGTGATGGAATCTTTGCGTCAGAATATTTTCTATTAGTGTCACCAATTTGAACTGCATTGTCTATGATATCGAAATATGAGCGAATCTGATGAATATGCTCTGCTGGAGTAAATTCGTTTAGCTGTTCGTTCTGCATGTATTTACTTCAGATAAAAATATCTATTTACTTCATTATTCTCACTCTTTTTCTTGGCATTCGTGGTGGAAGTTGTTTCTTGACATTTTCCATGAACTGTACATTCTCTTTTGTCTCAACTTCTTTCACTGGTGGGTCAGGGTTCTTTGACTCGGTTTGTTTTTCAATGAAATTCACGAACTTTGCAATAAGCTCTTGGTTCGTTATTGAAAGTACATCTGGCTTCTTTTCTTCTGGTTCTATTGGTGGCTCAGTTTGAACAGAAGGTTTTATATGGGCTTCGTGGACTTACACCTTGCCATGCCTTATGTTGTCGCTTTCTGCATTCGCTAATGGAACCTTTCTTTTTCTTACGTATATTTTACCATCTTTACTCTGACTTACGTAATAGAAAGGATGTTGTATTCCTCTTGCGTCATTTAATATAATAGACTCTCGTTCTGATTTTGACAAGCTCATTTTACATCGGTTAAAAGTTTTATTTTTGTTTTTTTCTGCAGTCAAATGACTCAGCCAAGCCCTACGGACAAGACCAAGGGGTCATAGATGTTGAAGCATTGAAGAAGAAATTCGTGAGCAAATTTTATCCGAACTGAAGGAACAAAAAAAAGAACAAAAGCCAGAGAGACCAAAGAGAAAACTTAGTGAAAAACAACTTGCTGCATTAGCTGCTGGAAGAACAAAGAACCCAAGACTACTGGCGAAGAAAGCTAGAGAAGAAGCTGAAGCAAAAGCTAAAGAAGCTGAAGCAAAGAAAGAGTAAATGGTTTATTTTTATCCGAATTAAATGTATAGCAAAATACTTTATCTGTTGCGTTCAGTAGTGAAAACCCTGACGTCAAAATAAAGGGGACAGAGTAACGTTTAAGTTTCCAACAGACTGGATTGTGACATAATGAAGAGAAGTAACATTGGCATAAACAAATATGTATATAACACGTGCTTTCAGAAAGATTGACTTTATACTTCAAGTCGAGATAGAAAATGACGAACAGTCTTTAAGCGCCCAAAACATTCACATATACAAATACTTTAAAGACGATACAACGTTAGAAGACTGTATAATTACATTTTACGAAAATTTTCAAAAGAAGTTTACATTGAAGTACAAACTTTACAGTCTTTACGTGAGTTTCTTGCACAACTGAAAGAAGAAGGAATTGTAGAAATAAATAGCTTTTCATTACGAGTTTGTACCAAATGAAGATGGAAACACATGACTGTCAATTCAT